TCTTTATACCTGCGCATGCACAAATTTGTGCGCATGCACAAACGGCACTGTGGTGCTTGTTTGTTCATGCGCATGAGAGAGCATGCACCCGCACAAAGCGCCATGCAGCCATTTACGCATTTGCACAAGCGTGCACACAGGTGCAAACGGCCTTTATGGGGGTGAGCGCATGCAGGGGGTGGGCTGGGAGGTCTGTCTTAGCGGCCCAGTCAGGCTCAGGCTGGCGAGCAGCATCAGGCCGCGGACCGGGGGTTGACGACCTCTGATCTAAGACTACTACTAATGTTGTCATCAACAGGATACAGACCCTTTTAAAGTCCTAAAACTAAATGTAATTGCTAATCCCACCTAAAGTACATCCACTGATTCAGTTACTAAATAGGGAGTTAACATTTTGTGAATCCCATTAGTTTAGTGTGTTAGCCCCTGTTGGGAGTATTAATTAGATTCATGCTTTAGGAATTAATGCTATCCATGGTACAGAAATAAATAGTGTGACATGGACAGTGGGAGGTGTCTTGCAGGAATCAAAACCATGGATTTAGCATTTCCGTTCTCTGCCCGTAAAGTAAATTTGTTCCAACCTACACTTTTACAGTTCTAAAAAAAGGATATGTTAGAAGCATATGGATCCATTTCCACTAAAAATATCTCCTGTTGCCCTACATTTGTTTAACCATCCTCTTATGGCAACATTTTCAGGGTCTCATCTTCCATCTTTTATTTAACACATAGACTTCATTTCCGTGTCATGAACAAGCATCTACACATTTTAACATGCCAAATGTTACTTCTAAGCTATGATGTATGTTTTTCTTCCATCCTCCCCACCTGGCTCCTGGCTAAAAACATTCTTTTGACATCAATATGGTAAAAACAGATGGCACCCCCCTTTTTTTCCTTTTAAAGGGCAGTATTTTAATCCCACAAAACAGTCATTCTGAAGAATTTAGCCATCAATCACATATGCATAGAAAAAATAAGAAGAAAAATGGTTATGTCTCAAGGTTATGAGATATTAAATAAGGTCTTTAAGCCCTTTAAAAGGACTATTTGAAACTCCAGTACTTTGGCCATCTCATGAGAAGAAAAGAGTCCTTGGAAAAAACCTTGATGTTAGGAAGGTGTGATGGCAAGAGGAGAAGGGGACGACCGAGGATGAGATGGCTGGACAGTGTCTGCGAAGCAACCAACATGAACCTGACACAACTCCGGGAGGCAGTAGAAGACAGGAGGGCCTGGCGTGCTCTGGTCCATGGGGTCACGAAGAGTCGGACACGACTAAACGACTAAACACACACATTAAGCCCTTTAAAAGGACTATTTGGAAAAAAGTCAAAACTATATCTAATACAAGCTGGGAGTGATGGGAGTTGAAATACAACAGATCTGCAAAGTGATGGGGTTGGGGAGAGTTGAATTAAAGGGCTGGCTGCAGCTTAAAGAACTGAAGTGAGCCACGCAGAGCCATGGAGAAAAATTCAGAGGAAGTTGCACTCTACTCATGATGACATACAAGTACTACATTTCTGAATGACGCAGGACTAGAAGTATTTGATACTTTTTAATAACATGGAAATGAGCTTGGCACAGAAGGCCACCTATGATTATGCAGAAGTTCAGGTACTTCAGAAGGTAAAACTCAAGAGACAGTGAAACAGTGTTCCAAAAGGCCTTAGAAATGGCAAATCATTTGAAGAAACTGGAATATACCTGAAGGGAATGAGATAAAATGAAAGCCCAGGAGTCCTAAAGACCCAGACCACAAGAGATCAAGCTGTGTTTGACAGTACAAATAAAGTCTGAAGAAGAGACAGAATTGTACTTGTCTGAGATTTTTGAGTTAACAGTCTTCACAGGGTGTAGCGAGGATGTACATGGTTTGCCTGTTGCACTCTGCACTGCAGTTTTGCTGAACGCCAGTTTTTGTTTTTAGAGCACCGCATGTAGGAGGGACAGGCTGCAAACCTATATATGCCTGGGTGTACATACTGTTGACTTTGCTCATGAGTAAAGCTATACAGGATTGCACTGAGGAGGAAGATCTAACAATATTTGAATTTCAGTGTGCGTGTGTTTTGTACCATCATGTTGCATCTGACTTTTAGAGACTCTGATAGGGTTTTCAAGGTAACTGAGATATTTAATGAGTGGTTTCATCAGTTTCACCTCTCCCCTTGAGTTTCCATTGCTGAGTGAGGATTCAAATCCAGGTCTTCTAAGTTGTCTGTCATTCTATCCATTACACCTAGAGAGTTCTCCAGAGCTCCATCAGTACAGGAGAAATCTCCCTTCCTCTCTGCCCAAAAGGCACACAATTTCAAAATTGTGCTCCGTATGACCCACAAATCAGATGAGAGATAACGGGCTGCAAAAGTGGACATGCACAGCTAGATGTAGCACTCAGACTTTTTCCCAACGTTTTCCTGGGGGGATATGTGCAAGAACAAGAAAATGGAGAAGAAAGGAAAAGAAAAACAGGTATTGATGAAGATATTGATGCTATTAGATTACTGAACACTGGGGTTCAGGATTGCACAGACAAGTGTGTAAACTCACTCTACTGAAAAAAGAGAAGGCTTAAATCACTATCAAGTACTATGAGGGTTCTGTCTGTGGTAAATGACCTGTGATAACAGATGCACACATAAAAACCATTCTAATGCTACTGTGAATGAAAGAGGAACCAGGATGTCTGGACTAATATAACCTTGACTTGAAAAAAACTTTTTAAATAACAGATTTGTAGGTCAAATGGTGCATGTCAGTAACCTTCAAGTCCCCTTATTTTTGAATACATTTTGGAGAGCAGCATCTGTCTTAACATAAAGAACAACAAAACAATGAGTGATGCCCATCTATTCTCCATTATTAGGGCCAGACCATATGAAAAACCTGTGTGAAAGATAGCTTTTAGAGGAAGAACACTGTGGAACCTGGAAAATGAATATCATCACAGTGAAGGTCCAGCTCTTTATGTGCAAGAAGGCATTTGCCTCGAATGAAATTACTTCAAACTTCTTTGATTCAGACCTCAGCTGCTCTGCTAACTTTTGTGGGCTACTACTCAGTAAAATAAATGCATGGTGATTTGGAAAAGAAGACCTTGCTGCTGAACATCATCTGGCCCACACAGGGAGAAAGGGTGAGTTAAGTTTCCTCAGTGTAGAAGGGCTCGGCAAGAACAGGGAAGCTGAAAACTTATTTGCTTTCTGAAAGAATTAGATCAAGTTGGCTTGCTTTGACAAATGGTCTGAAAGCTGTTCCTAGAAAACTAGTACTTGCAAAAAACTATTTGAACCAACTGATTGGTTCAAAATTGGGAAAGGAGTACGACAAGGCTGTATATTGTCTCCCTGCTTATTTAACTTATATGCAGAATACATGATGCAAAAGGCTGGACTGGATGAATCCCAAACCGGAATTAAGATTGCCGGAATAAATATCAACAACCTCAGATATGCAGATGATACCACTCTGATGGCAGAAAGTGAGGAGGAATTAAAGAATGTCTTAATGAGGGGGAAAGAGTGCCAAAAATGATCTGAAGCTCAACATCAAAAAAACTAAGGCCATGGCCACTGGTCCCATCACCGCCTGGCAAATAGAAGGGGAAGATATGGAGGCAGTGACAGATTTTACCTTCTTGGTCTCCATGATCACTGCAGATGGTGAGAGGAGCCACGAAATTAAAAGACGCCTGCTTCTTGGGAGGAAAGCGATGATAAACCTAGACAGCATCTTAAAAAGCAGAAATTGTGGTGCTGAAGGAAACTCTTGAGAGTCCCCTGGACTGCAAGGAGCACAAACATATCCATTCTGAAGGAAATCAACTCTGAGTGCTCACTGGAAGGACAGATCCTGAAGCTGAGGCTCCAATACTTTGGCCATCTCATGAGAAGAGAAGACTCCCTGGAAAAGACTGATGTTGGGGAAATGTGAAGGCAAGAGGATAAGGGGATGAAAGAGGACGAGATGGATGGACATTGTCATTAAAGCTACCAACAGGAATTTGACCCAACTCCGGGAGGCAGTGGGAGACAGGAAGGGCCTGGCGTGGTCTGGTCCATGGGGTCACAAAGAGTCGGACATGACTTAATGACCAAACAATAACATTCAGTTTTAATGAGTAATTAGTTACAGTTTTACTTCCAAGGCAGCATATATCTGCCATTAAAATAAAAAATATTTAAAACACCTTGTTTTCCGTTTTTCAACAGAAACATCTGAATGCTACCAGTCTCTGGTAACAAAACATTCCTTTTTCTATTATCTCCTCAGTAGAGATGATTTGGTGGTTCAAATGTTCGAAAAAGAATGAGGAGACATGGGTTCAAAATCTCACTTGCACAGGAAACTCATTGTGCGTCCCTGAGGTAAGTGCCTTCTCTCAGTCTAACATATCTCACAGCATTATTGTAGGATAAACTGGGGGAAGGGAGAGGAATATATGTTGTCCAGAGCTCACTAGAAAAATGGCAGCCTAAAAATATCCATAAAACGCAAGAGTGCAACAAAATGCACAGGCTGAGCTGTGTGATGTGGTATAGAATTGGCCGGAGAGGAGAGCCAAGCAAGTAAGTTGTGTCAACAATGGAATGGAGGAGGTAGGTGCACTTAAGTTGAGAAGCCCAATGAGGTTTACTGAAATTTCCCCGAAACATCTACACAGACATCCTAAGGAATCCTGTTATCACTGAGTGATTTTATGAACAGAGAAGATTAGCTTCTTCCTTTCCAGGATCAGAATATGATCACTCTACTTAAATGTGTGAGAACACAGTATTAAGTGTGGCAAAATACACATGCCAAGCACTAGTCAGTTCAGTTGGTCTTTAAAAAGAGACACTATCAATATCATGAAGATTTTGCACAGTTATTATTATTATAATTACTCCAAAAAAATCAACACTTTCAAATATATTTTTTTTACAAAATTACACTTAATTGGCCAGATACTGACCCAGAGTTATATAAATACCCTTCAAGTGTTCTAAGTTCCTTAGAATTAAAAAGTGTGATTGCTAAGAGTTGTCGTACAAAAAAAAAACAAGCATTCAATCTGGACAGCCAAGAAAGGTTACTATAAGCTATTAAAAATTATATAAAGTGTAGCACACATATATTTGGTTAAACATATGGTGCTGTGGCTGGCCTTCATCTTGAGCACTGCATAGATATAATCCCTTTTGGAGCTTCTAGGTAGAGGAGGGGGTCCATTTTTTTCAATAACATCCAGTACCAATAAAACGGCCAATTTTGTATCTAATCTGGGATGCAGCATCTTTTGAGCCTTCTAACTAAAAGGCAGGCTTGCTCATATATTCTTCCATTGTCTGCAACAAAGAACAATAGGGATATTTAATGCAGTTATTAGAAAATATACATAAACTCTACAATGCAATTGGTTCCCTAACAAGTGATGCTTTGAAACGATGAAAATCCAGAGGGTTGCAGCTAATTTGCAAAGCTAATTGGAACTCATCAACACAATTTGCATGAATGCTGTAAGGCTAATCCCCATCTCACCAGTTTAGTTTTCCAGCCTGGTAGGGTATCTGAGATCTTAAACATCATTATCTCTTAACTGCTCAAAATAATATTCATTATTTGCTTTGGTGTTAAAAATGAAACAAAAAATTTAGAAACCATGAGGTCTGATGGGAATAAGCATGAACATGGGCAGTAGAGTGACATTCTGAATAAAAGATAGTTCACATATCTCTCATATGTTCCTAAATATTAATAAAGGCTAACAGATTATTTTTTAAAACCCAAAGATTAAGATTTCCAAGAGTTTAAGTAATGAGAGGGTACAAAACAAATTAGCAGAAAGATATATTTGGCTGAAGTTAAGAGCAGTTCCCTATTTTGGCAAAAGTATATTTCAGTACCAAATTTAAGATCCTTTCATTAAAATGCTCAGTCATTTTCCCCAATAGTAAAGTAATGTCATAACCCATGAAAAAAATAATAGAAAATCTAGCAGATTTGAGGCAAAATTCTTAGACTCAAAGAAGCATGGAAGTTACTTTATGACTGATTTTACTATGATTTTGTGCTCAAGTTACACTGATTTTCTATTAAATACAGGGCACAAAATACTTTTCCCATAAAATTGTTTGAATTTTTGCAACCTTGCATGCTGTGTTTAGTAGGTTTGGCCAAGAGAGAGATTTCTGGGCTGGGGTGACTGTCAATCTATCCAGCACTAATGAATTGTTCCTTCCCTATCTCTGATTTCAAAGCCCCTTCTCTTAGCTGAGAGCTTTTTTCCCCTCCTGTTGAAGTCTGTTGTTGAAAGCAGTCAAATCTGATGTTTGATCTGTTCAATTATAAGTAATTATAAGTAATTAAATTTTATTCTTTACTTATGTCTCAGAGTGAATTGTTGAGGCTGTAAGTGCCAGTTAATGAGAAAGGGGTGGACTTTGGAGCGCATGAAGCTTTTCTGTTCTATGAATTCCTGTCCTTCTGCATAGCTAGAGGAATTTAACGAAAAAACAAAATAGGCAAGGGTTGTACTACATGCTAGAATGTCACCCTTTCAATTTGCTTTGGCTTTCAGTTTAGTTAGCAGTAAACAGAGGTTTTTACTGAAAAACAAACACTGGTACAATAAAAAAGAGGCATCTTCCTTTGTAATGGAAGTAGAAAAAAGAGAACATTATATGAATATTCTGTTTTATAAATGGTAGAGCTGAGGAGAAAGAAAAATCTGTAGTGCTGGCAGGTTAAAATATGGGGACTGCTTTTTCCATAAATTACATAATTTTTTAAGTTTACAACTTCTAGAAGCCTCTAGCCAATACGGTGCTGAGGTGTGGTGGAGTAGTACAGTGGTGTCTCGACTTACGAACTTAATCTCTTCCATAAGATGGTCATAACTCGAAATGGTCGCAAGCTGAAGCACCATTTCCCATAGGAATGCATTGAAATGTGATTAATCCATTCCGGCCAAAGGGGAAAAAACCCAAAAAGCAAGCAAGACTCATCAAAAATGGGGGGAACCCAAAAAGCAAACAAACCCTGTAACACCCATCGGAAATGGGGGGCAGGGAATCAAAAAGCAAACAAACCCTGCAAGACCCATCGGAAATGGGGGAGGGACCTAAAAAAGCAAACAAACTCTGCAAGACCCATTGGAAATGGAGGACAGAAAGCAAAAAAACAAACAAACCCTGCAAGACCCATCGGAAACGTGAACCCCTGCAAAAACAAAAAAGACTGTAAGACCCATCACAGCACAGAAACATAACCCCCTCAGCCCAAAACCATGCTGCAAAACACACCTGGAACAGGCAGTTTTAAAAAAGCAGAAAGCAGCACCTTACGAGGCAGTCGGAAGCCTCCTCCGAACGCACACTCTCTAACTGCTGGGGCGAAAGAGCTACAAAGAAGCAGCCTCTTCACCACCAACATTTAGCAGCTTGAATTCCCCCCTTTTTTCCTGCCATTTTTCCAGTCGTAATTCAAAGCTCTGGTCGCAAGTCGAAGGAAAATTTTGCGGCTGCAGCTGGTCATAACTCGAATCAGTCATAAGTTGGGACGTTCGTAAGTCGAGACACCGCTGTAGTAACACTTCTTCAAATATAACTTGTTAGTTTTTACTGTGACACACTGCTCTTCATTGTTTTTGCTAAAATACACAAAGATAGTTACCACATGGTAGTTTTAAAAGGTAGATATACCTTTTAATATATATATTCTATGCTGCTTCAGTGCTGGGTCATGGGGTGACTTAAAAATGATTTTAAAACAGATACAACCAAGAACCAATCCATTAAGGTATAATATGGGAGGTGGAGAGAGTTTTTCATTTATTTTTCATTTCATTTGAAATACTTGGCTTTCACATTCCTACTTCTCTTTTTAGCACCTTCCCCCCCTGCTTTTCTTCCAAGATATGTTTTTAATACCTTCTTTCCACTTCTCTGCCTTACCTCTTGTAACATGTCAGCATCTTCTATTGCTTTCACTGCACTTTTTTTGGATGTTTCTTGAATTTCCCCTCCCATTAGAAATTCATCAAGAATAAAGTAGGCCTTTTCAAAATTGAAGATGATATCCAGCTCACATACCTGGAAAGGATTACAGATAAAAATATTCAGATGAAAAACTACAGCACTGAAGGCAGCAGTGTGCAGAGAATCATCCAAAACCTGCTGCATGTGTGCACCCTTGTGGTGGGCACTGAACAAGAAAAATACAAAAGTGAATGTAGTGAGACTGTGAGATGGGGATATTTTGAAGCTTAGAAACATTCTAAGAGCATTCTTGCTTCCTTAACAAGGGAAAACAGTGAGTTTTACTCTCCACTATAGCCACATACAGGATTGCCCACATATTACTTTTACAGTTCTGTACATCTGTCCTGATAAGACTGCACTGTCTGATTATTCTGTGTACTTGTTATGCCGTTTTGGCCAGAGTCCTATTGCTGATTTGCAGTTGCACAAGGGACATAGTCTTGTTGGTAAAATCCTTTTCAGTAGTGATGTATTTGGACACATGCCTGATAGTGTGACTGGTTGTGTCCTGGGGTGTCCTCTGTGCATCTCTGTACTTCTACTGTGTAGCAAAAAGAATTTTTTTCCCAGAAATTCAAAACTTGGCAACATCAAATACTAAAAAAACCCTCTAGAAACGAAGTAGAATACATCGCCTCCTGGAGCCATCTGTTCCACTGACAAACAGTTCTTATTGTCAGGATTTTTTTTCCCCTAATGTTTAGTCACAATAGCCTCTCTTGTAATTTAGATCTATTAATTCAAGTACTACCCTCTGGAGCTGGACAAAGTCAGCTTGCTCCATCTTCCAAATGACAGCCCCTCAGATATTTGAAGATGATAATCATGTCACTTCTCAGTCTCCTGTTCTCTAGGATAAAAATGCCCAGTCTTCTCAACTATTCTTCATAGGCTTGTTGCCCAGACCTTTTATCATCCTGATCACTCTGGACATATTCCAGGATCTTAATACCATTCTTAAACTGAGGTACCCAGAAATGGACACAATATTCCAAATGAGGTCTGACCAGAGCAGTATAGAGTCTTGCTGTCATTTTCTTCGATCTGGACACTACACTTCTATTGATGCAGCTTAGTATAGCATCAGCTTTTTTGCTGCCAGTAGTCAAAGAGAAAAGGCTGCTCTAAAGCACTGTGCAGCACTGATAGGATTCGGGCCTCCAGTGTCAATGCTGCATTTCATGACCAGTCTTCAAAACTAATTATTTGGACTGCGCGTGGGGATCATACCTCCAACAGACTGCATTTCTCTCCCCCCCCAGCATTTCCTGAAGCCCCACTTCATCCTATCTGAAAAACACGCCACTGAAATTTGATAGGAAATTATTCTACCAAGTTTGTGCAGCAGCTGGGTGGGGGGGCATGTAAGGCATACATTTGGTTTACTTTAAATGCATTGTAATTATTTGCTGCTGAAATGTGGCAGTAAACCAAGAAGACCCCATTTAAAGCAAACAAGTGCAACCTGGAAAAGAAATCTTCATGGCAAGAAAAATATTTGCTGGTAAGGTTCAGCCTCTGTTACAATGTATTTAAAACAAGCAATATGTTTGATTCAAATTATTTTTATCCAAGGTATTGTTAACATTTAGAAATAAAATATACTACCCAATTTCAACAGTGGGATATATGGTGAAATGTGTGAATTTGTGACCAATTGCAGCTCCTGGGGAGAAAAATATGGCCTATGCACTGAACAAAGTTGCCTCAATTTAGGTAAAATGCAGGTCTATCTAGAACAGGCTGAACACCACCCCCCACAAAAAGGGTAGCTTGTCCTGCTGGCTAACAGAAACATCTTAATATCCAGTATTACTGTCATTAGACCAATTCTGAAATCATAAAATACTCTGCAAACTTATGAGGTCTTCCAAACTCTTTATCAGTTGAAATCGTATGTAAAATAAAGGCAGGAGGACAAGAAGAAGAAAAATGGGCTGTTGTTCGAGCCATGCAATTTGCACCTGATTACAGTTTCAAGGAATGAAATGACAGGGGAGTGGGGAGCTGAAAACATTCCCATCAGACTGTGACAGGTAATCAGATGGTTTCAGTTTATACTGTACTTGAGACCCTCCCAAGGAGTTCTGAGAAACAAACAGCACATTTTTGAAAGTTAAAATCCAGCAAAAACAGTTTCCTTGGTTTGCAGGAAAAAAACCACAGGGAGGGGACTCCCACTAAACAGTACTTCTGCCTTATCAGGTCAGAAACTCAATATTTGTAAAGCAATTAATTCTGCATACTTGCATACAATGAACCCCTAATGCCCAGAAGCCTTCTACCCCAAAGGAGAACCTCTCATACCATAGCTCAACTCATACCTGTGGGCAGAGGCAATAATGAACACTTAACATGTATCTGATTAGGAAAAAGTAAAAGACAGGTATTTGACAACACTTACATTACCAAAATACCGGTCCAATAGCTCAACATAACGATGGACAACCTCAAGGGCCAAGAGTTCATTATCCTGGTCTTCTATTGCACAGCAGAAGTATAAACTAGCGTACCTAAAATGCAAAAGTGAAAAATATGTCACCATCTGAATAATATTCATATGTGACTGGTTTCCCAAGGGCAACATTTTCTGTAGTAAGTTTTTACATCATTGGTTTATTTGTTTTAAAAACAGGCAAGGTCAGCATTTATAATTAGAATTTCCTTACATAGCTCCTAACTTCATTCTCAGTGCTAATGAAAATGAAAGGATGGTCTTAATCACAGATCTGCAGAGCCAGACAAAGGTAGATTTTAGGTAATAATCAGATACGACAATTATGAGAGTCAAATGCTTCTATCTTACTACATCAGTCTTTCTCACAGTTCTATATTTCACGTGGAGTCTGGGCCAATAATTCTGAAACTCGAGACACCAGATGTTCTCGGACAACAGCTCTGAAAAGTCTAGCTAACAGCCAGTGGTTGGGGGCTTCTGGGGCTTGTAGTCCAAGACTATCCATCAGGAGTCCTAACTTTTTCAACTTCTGATCTAGGCCTTCAGTTAAAAATAAAACCACTGTGAGACAATTAATTTCAATGGGCATGTTTTAAAGGTCATTTTTCCCTTGTGAGGTGTTCTCTGTGTTCCATTTCTATTGTGTATTATGTGTTGACAAGTCACATCTGACTGCAACACTAATAGGGTTTTCAAGGTAGGTGAAATATTTAAGGAGTGCTTTTACCACCGACACCCCCTGCTCCAGCAAGCTTCCACAACTGAGTGGGAACTAAAGCCTAAGTCTCCTGAGTCCTCTCTGCCATTTTATACACCACACCACACTAGGTACAGTACCTTCGTTTTTTATTACAGAGCTCCTTCAATAGACTTCTGTAACCACAGCTGTCTTTTCCTCTCATTGGGAAGTAATGCAAGTATTTTTTAATGAAATGGGCATTCATCTTGTTTGCCAGTTCATCCAAGCAAGGCAGACAAGCTAGCCTTGATTTATAATCAAGCTATTCTTCTACTAATGACAGGATGTTTGAAGGGAAAAAGTTTACTCTATGTTGTTCATTCTCCTCTAAAACCTAATGGGATGTTACAGGATTTATATACAAAGCTAACTTATAAAAACTACTCACACCTTTTGTAAACAAGCTTGAGGTCTTTCCAGTCAACAAAACTGCTCATTTTTTGATTCCGAGCCAAAATAATCTGCACAATTTCTCGGGTGATCTTCTTCCTCTCTTTTTCAGGCAATGTAATAAACCATTTCTGAAGTCTTAATTTCCCTTGTCGGCTGAAGAGCAATATGAAATGTATCTAGAGTGGAACGAAATAATTCAGTAATACGGAAAGAAAGACAGCCAACTTTCTTAAACACTGCATTTCGGATAAAGTCTGCCCTTTTCTTTTTTGGTGAAATACTTTAATTTTTTTAAGTTACAATATACAAACTTGAAACGATGATCATCATCATCTTATCCTCATCATCTTACAACTGCAGAGTTAGAAGAGACCCTATGGATCATTGAGTTCAGCCCCTGTCAAGGAGGTACAGTGGGGAATCGAATTTCCAGCCTCTGGTTCTGCAGCCAGATGTCTAAACCATTCAGCTATCCAGTAGTTCATCTATACAGTAAGTATACAGATTATTATTATTATTATTATTATTCAGAAACGCTAGGCAGAGTCAACGTTATAGAAACATTGACTGGCATTATATAACAGATACAAGTTTTAACCCAAAACCTACGTATCTGTTAAATATCAGTGCAGTATGTACCGGTATGTTATTCCTAATATTGTTGTTTTTGTTATTATTTTTTATTAAAACTCTAATAATCCATTGCCATTGGCTTGACTTGAAGCTGAAGGAAATTCAAACTATCTGGAAGGTTTTTAGCTTGCTGCTCATGCTATAAAATAAGACAAAGGGGGAAATCCATCCTAAATTATACACTTCTAAGTCCCACTAGAAGAATCAAGATTTGTCATTTTAGCTTTTCAAAACAGTGATAGAAAATAGGCACATACAGATAGGAATAAATAATCTTAGAACTGCTGAGCTGGAAGGGACCCTATGGATCATTCAGTCCAGCCCCTGTCAAGGACGTGCAGTGAAGAATCAAACTCCCAGCCTCTGGCTCTGTGGTCAGAAACCTAAACCACTAACCTATCCAGCAGTTCTGCTAAGGGCAGAGGTAGGCAACTGTGGACTCCTGGATGTTGTTGGACTGCAGCACTCTTCCCCCTTTATCGTTGGCTGAGTTGAATAGGACTGATGGGAGTTGTAGTCCAATAATATCTGGAGCCCTCCCCTCCCCAATTAGGGGAATGTTAGATTAGATTAGATTAGATTAGATTAGATTAGATTAGATTAGATTAGATTAGATTAGGCACCCTTCAATCTCGAGAGACTATGGTAATGTGCTCTGAATAGAGAACTTGGAACAGCGCCTAGTGAGGCTGAGAAGGCCAATTCGAGAGTGACAATCTCCTTCCACAATGAAGACAAATACAATCTGTCCCCTGTCCAGCTCCCTCATTTTCCTGCCTTTGGGACTGCCTCTTTGCCTCGGCCTGCTGAACAAGTGTCTCTTCAAATTGGGAGAGGCCATGATGCACCACCTGCCTCCAGGCTGAACGCTCAGATGTCAAGGTTTCCCATCTGTTGAGGTCCATTCCTAAGGCCTTCAGATCCCACTTGCAGATATCCTTGTATTGCAGCTGTGGTCTCCCACAGAATGTGGAGAAATACAAAGCAGTTAAATCTTCTCTCAAGTCTCCTCCTATTCTTTAGATAGGTGAAACGGGAGAGACAGAATGTCCATCATGTAATTCCACCAGGTTGCCTTGCCAGTCCCATTGCACATTTGCAAATCTGAAGTTCAGAATGGCCCAGAATCAGAAATTACAAATTAATTATGGATGTGACTACATGGTTAAGTATCACAATTTGCTCTGCATATAAAACAACTCAAAGAATGTTTTATTGTTCGCATGACGTAAAGGTTGATTCAAATCAATTCAGCCCTTTTTACTCCCAAAGCAGCGTTTTTTTTTCTCTGCCATGGGGTGGGGTTCCACTTTTTCAAGCCGGAACTATTCAAATGAGCTTTTACCCACTTAGTTGTGATAAATTCTTGTAACATTGGGGTGTCTGTGTCTGTAGTGACATACGCAGTTGTGATGTGCTGTTCACAACTGGGGAAACATACCCCACACTCTTTCCTCTCTTTGATTGTCCTCCAAATTCTTTTTTAAAATTCTTACATATATGAGATTAGTGCTAGATTACCCTATCACTTTATCTCTGGGTCACCATCATTATTATTTCACATATTTATTCCCTGTCAGTTCCCATTCAGATTGGCAGAGACAGGACCATAGGAAGGAAGGATTGGCAGAGGTGGGATCAGAGGAAGGAGGAAAGAAAAGCAAATCACATCACATGCAGTATGAAAAGTTAACTCCCAAATCAACCTACAGCCCCTGTATGAGCTCTGACTATTATTTCAAATGTAACACAAGCTGCAAATCAGTGTAGTTGCACCCTAAGTCTTTCAGCCATTGTACCAAAATAGTAACTGTTGTAGTCATATGACATTCCAAGTTCCCTGCTCCAGGAAATCTGCACTCCACATAAGGGATGAACAAGTGAGAAATGTAACAGGTCCATGATGAGACTCACATCCCCAAATGTTTCCATTCCTCATTCTAGAATGAAAATTTACTCTCTCTTTTTTTAACTGCAGTTCCCATAGAGTGGACAGTAGCTCACTGGGGATTTCTGGAAGCTATAGTTCAGTGGTCCTCAACGTTTTTGGGACCACGGACCATTTTGGGGGCACTGGCTTCGTGCGCGGACCAGTGGGGGGGCCGGGCACCCCCACGCTCGCAGGTGGGCGGGGGACCCCGTGCTCGTGCGTGGGCGTGTCACGCTCGTGGGCCCACTGCCGCCTTCTCCACCGCCAAAATATATACACACACACACGCCCCCTCGGCGTGGGGAGGGCTGTTGCAGGAGGAAGAAGTCATCGCCTCCCTCCCTCTCCCTCTTTCATGCCAAGCGCCACAGCCATCCTTGTCTGTCCTCTCTACTGTACCTAAATAAATGCCTGGCTTTGTGAGTCTTTGTCAGGGCTTTGTACAAAAGTATAAAAGAACTTCCATCTACCAAAGGCAAAGGGAATTGGTTTAATGTGACAACTGCCCCTGCCCTGCATAACAATTATCACACGCTCAGCATGCTTGTCAACACCTCCCAAAAAAAACTAAAACCGTCTCTCTCGCGGTTTGTCCTGTTAATCACTTGTCGTAATTAAGAAACAATCCTTGATGTTAATTTGGCTCTTGTACCTCAGTAAGAGGTATGTCCACCTATATGAGACTTATGGTTCTGAAGAGGAATGAAGGGGGTCTGGTTCTGTTTTCATGCAGGGGACTATACATGCCTCCCCCTGCAATATAGTAGAGTTGCCATTGGATACCTGCAATGTTAGAGCAATACTACTATGGCTACAAGAATGGCAAAGATTTTTCTTATTGTTAAAACTATTGATCCTATCCCATCATTTGAAAAATTAAATTTTGCAATTATTATTTCTTCACCACTATTAACAAACAACCATTGCAAGTTAAGTATCCGATTTCTCCAGTCCCACATATCCATATCTGCCATATCCACATATCCATATCCACCATGATGAACCCCTTGCAGGGGAGCATTGGGCAACTTCAAAGGATTTGGGGGCCAGCCTTCCACCCTCTGGGGCCTCCTGTGCTAGATAAATAGGATACTAAGAGGCATGACACTCAGAATCAATCTGGTTGAAAACTAGAGGCCAAATATTTGAAGAAAAACAAGGACTAATAAGAAACTGGAAGAGTTTAAGGACATACATGTAGAGAGAGATAAACAGACAGTTGGCAAAGAAAGGGGCATAAAGAAAGCAGGAAAAGAGTTTGGTTTGAGAACTGGATATTTAGCCTTATTTGGTCTTACTGACAGAATTTAGTGGTCTATGTCAATAGTGTGACTACTCAAGAGAAGAAATCACTCTGGAAACTGGTGCTATGCTTTTACTGCCTATAATATTCTAGGAAAGCTTTTTATGAATAATGGAAGAGAAAAAGATCTGTAAACTTAATTACAAAAGTCCATAGAATTGGCTGCCATGTCTGAAAATCTTCCTCTCTCAATAAAATGGCACAGAAAAAAGGAAGAAGATAACTAAGATTACCAATCTGCATCTAGATCTAGAAAAGAAAAGATAGTTAAAACACACCTAGGCAAACTATCTAACTGTCACCTCCTCACCCAGAGCAGGTTACTTGCTACCTGCAGAGACGCTGTATTCCAAGGCAGAGTCAGAACTCAGATGGAAGGAAGCATTCAGATATTCTGTGAGCTGCAGCTCAAAAAAAATAACTTTTTCACCTCTAAAAAGAACTGTTGCAGGAAAAAGGAACAGAAATTTGATTCCACTAGATTAGTCTCCAACACTTGAATCCAAGTCATTACCTGTATTACAAATTGCGCTCCTGTCTGTTTTCTCCTCTTTTTTTCATTGTTTGAGCCAGTATAACCTGGTCATTGGCCATGAGCAAAGACTTAATAATACAACATTTACACATAGTTAGTTAAACAAGTAAAGGGAAGATCTATTCTCAGCTGGAAACAAAAGCAGACACAGGGCTCAAGGGCAGGAGGGATCATAGGCTGACAAGCAGAACAAGGGGACAGGAACACAGATACTAGGAAAGGGAAAGATAGCCAGTTGGCCATATGTCTTGACATATTATAAATTGATTTTCCACAAGGTTTGCACATGAACACAATGGACATGGTGAATTGAGATAATGAGTTGTTTCTCATAAATGAGGAATGGGATCAGATAACTGAGATTACATTCAGAGATGGCTATTAATGTTGTCCTACTGCTAGCTTGCAGCAAAATGTCCTGTTTATCATTCAGTCGGTTCTATTGTTCTCACACTCTCTCATATACGCACTATAATATGTCACTCTCCTGTTATCTTTCCTACAGAGATTGCATGTGCCCTAGAGCTAAGGACCTCATCTTTCTTGTCAGTCTACATTTATTTTAATAATCAAAAGGCAGGCTTGTGATATGTAAAAAGCGAATAATTTCTTAGGCTACCTAACTATAATGTTATGAATCAGAGGCCAGCCTAATTGGCATGTTGTCCAGCAGCTCTTCTCTTACACCAAGACCAGAAAGTTTGGAACAGTTACAAATCGGACTACAGCCCTCATAACCTCTCAGGCAGCATAGCCTTTGACTTCATAATTCTTT